GAGCTGTTGCGGAATATCCTGCAGCAGCTGAACGCCCCTGCGTTGGACCGATCCTCCCTGTCGTCGTCTGCCCATAGAGAAGGAATACATTCTGAAGAAGCCCAAGAGAGATACTCCATGCTGTTTTGTGATGACCCACCGGAGATTCAACTAGCATGTGGTTCGCATGCCTTGAGCTGTGAGGATTACGAAGGGATAGTCCATGCGAGTTTTTGCTTCCAACGTACGATGACAGTCAGTACTGTACTCATGTACGGCACCCCGGCATGTCATGTCCAATTTGTAGACAGGGGCTGGAACGACAATGCCTCTATAATTGCGGTCGACACGCCTCTGTGTTCCTAGCATGTACTAGCCACGTAGCCTGTGACATCTGTCTGCTCCGTGCCATTCGATCCAGCAACTGTGACTGCGAAAATTGGATGTTGTGCTTCCATAGCCCACACCCGAACCGGTCCTGTCTGGTCTGTAGGGGTGGCCACTTGCCATAGTTCATTTTGCTAGTGTAGTCTGTTTCAGCGGTGAATATTTAGAAATCTGTGAAGCCCGTCATACACCTCTCCCCTGCTCTTTGCATGTCATACTCTATCCTGCCCTCCACCTTCTATCCCTTACCCTCTACCCTCCCCTCCACTCCCTTTGTACCACTAACAAATACATACGAATGAGCATCATTAAGAGAACAGACGATATGAAGATCATAAATGAAATGAACGGAAGTATGAAGATGAAGGATGGACACAAAGACTGTATAAGCCGAAGATCTGAAGTGAAATGAACAGGAGTATGAAAAGCTCTGAAGAGATGCACAGGAGCATACCTTCCCTTTTACTCGGCCTCCTGAAATAACGTGCGAGTGGGCCGTGAACGCACACGGGGATGTGGGCAGCTGCCGCTCAACCACAATCAACGTGGGCAGCCTTGTGCGTAAGAGGCACAGTAAAAGGGGAGCTGCAAGAACAATAAAGGGGTACCCGAAGGACAACCAAAAAACTGTCTAATTATAAAATTGCTTTAATATGTTCGACATCTCAAATGCTCTCGTAGTCTGCAATAGGACAAATACTGCTTTGATTCTGAATCTATTCACCTGGGTGGATTTGGGGCTGTTGTGGGGAAAATCTGAAACACGCAAGCAGCCTGTAGTCTGGCACAATCATGCTTCTTTTTTTTCTCTTTTTTTTGTGGATTGTGTATACCCAATACGGCAACACACACACACACACACACGTGCATGTGAGAGAGAAAGAGAGAGAGAGAGAGAGATAAAGAGAGAGAGGGCGGAAGCGGGAGCAGGGGGAAAAGGGTGAGCGGGAGCGGGAGAGTGCGCGCGTGTGAGAGAGAGAGAGAGAGAGAGAGAGAGAGAGAGAGAGAGAGAGAGAGAGAGAGAGAGAGAGAGAGAGAGAGAGAGAGAGGGCGGAAGCGGGAGCAGGTGGGGAGGACGAGCGGGGGAGGCAGCGGTCTCTGTCTGTGTGTGCTCGCACGTTTTCTATTCATTTTGTTAAATCTGTTTTCGTTTTTTTTCCCCTTTTTTTTCCGTTTCTTTTGCGTCTTTTTTTCCGTTTCTTTTGTTTTGTTTTTTTCCTTCTCCTCGTTTTCTTTCCCATTTTTTATTTTTTCAGGGCCAGGCGGTGCCAGTGCCCCTAACAGACCCCCCAGGACCCCTTCCCCGGTGCCCCCCCCCCTCCAACGGCTCTGGGGGCTCAACCATGGAGTTGAACTCCACGTTCACGCGCGTTTATTGAACGCGCGTTCAAACCGTTCAATTTTTGAACGGGAAACGCGTGTTCAATGAACACTATGTTTCATACCCCCAAAGCGAACTCGGCAGATTGGTCTATGGAGAGTGCTGGGTTTGAGGTGCCCTCAGGTTACTCTCTCTGAGGACTCAAGGATCAGCTAGCCAGTGGGAGGAGGCGGGACATTCCTGAGAATCCTGTGGTTGAATTCGAGAAATAAGTCACTGCAATCATCAGTGCAATGTCAACTATTTTAGTATTGCCTGGATATCTTCCGGGTTCTTTGGAGGCTCGGGACTACCGGACCCCTATCTATGGCTGGTGGCGCCAGCCAAAAGGGAAAAAAAAAAAAAAAAAAAACACCGCACTGGTCTGGTGCTTCACTGAAGCTTGGCATGGAGAGCAAATCCCCCCTCTGCAAAAAGAGACTTAGAGGCGGTGGTGGTTTAAGGCAAGGATGGAACAGAACGCTCAAGAAATAGTGCTCAAGAATGAAGTAAAAAGAAGGATGATGTCAACTGTGAATAGATTCAATTTCATTCAAGTCTTGAAGAATAATATCTGAGGGCGAGATCCCACTGGCCAAGAAGATTGGAATAAGTGTCTGAATCTGGATGTGTTGGTGGAGAGGTGCAAAAGATTGTGATTGATCTGCTTTACTGCATCTTTGTGCGGACCACATCCAGATTCAGACACTTATTCCAATCCTCTTTGCCAGTGGGATCTTGCCCTCAGATAACTCTGAGCCTTCAGAGTTCGAACTCTGAACAAACTGGAGCCGGTAAGGGCGGCAAGCTCATTGGTGATCTTTCAAATTTCAACCCTCTTAAAAGAAAGTCCCAGTGAATAGCATCTTGAAAAAGGGTATGGCATGGCAATGCATAGATTCATAGAACTTGTTCCCGGTGAATAGGGGAACCGAACTGATGCTCCCCGAAATGGATATGGAGGCAGGGCCATAAGGACCTGGTTCCCCCCCCCCCCCCCCCTCCCCCTCCGACGACCGTCAAAGAATCTGTTCCCGGCTCCCCCATCTCACTCCATACGGAAATGATATCCTGCGCTCAGTCCTCCGTGACTGTGGGTGCCTGTTTTGTGTTCTGTTGTTCTCTATACTCCTTGTTTCATGGTTGGTGAGGAGAAACAACCAGACTGGCCTCGCCCACAGAACAGATGGTACAGTGTGTGTGCAGCAGTGTGCTTTGTGGAAAGGAAAAAACGACAATGGGCCTTGCTCCACTGCACAGTGTTCCAAACGTATTTGGATCTGTTGCTGGATAGATACACTGAAAATGTGTTGTCAGTCCGAACGTATCTGGATCACACCAGAGTAGAGATGCATTCCCACTGTTGTGTAGTGGAGCGAGGCCCACTGCATAGAATTCCAAGGTGGCAAGGTCCAGATCACATCCTGACGTAAAGATCACTTCCGTACCTATGTCCAGCCCTGGTCTTTTTTTTCTTTTTTTTTCTTTTTAATTCAGTAGGGATACCCACTGTGCAGGGTGATATGACCATCCTTCCTGGACCTCCCAAAGTGGGCTCCAAGGTTGAAGCCCCCACCTATTGGTGGGGAGGTCTACGAGAGTAGAACGTACAGTAGTTATAGCTGTATGTTTTGGGGGGATATTCAGTCTAGCTACAACGGCAATGACCGGACGTTCTATTCGGATGAAGAAGGTAGGCTGCCTCATTTCCTTACGCCGATCTATTTGATCAAAAATATTGAACAGACTGTGCAAGGCTTGACTCTGGCGGAGGATGCAATGTGCTGCATCAAGTGGAGTTTGTTTGTTTGTTTGTTTGTTTGTTTGTTTGTTTGTTTGTTTGTTTGTTTGTTTGTTTGTTTGTTTGTTTTTAAGTGGAGTTGAAAAACTGCAGTATTTCCCTTCTTCCTTGTCCTCTCATTCCAATTTACCCAGGACTGGAATTGAAAAAAAAAAAAAAAAAAAGGTAGAACATTGTACCAAAGAAAACCTTGAAAGCACTACCTTCTTCCCCCGAAGAGAACGCCTGGTCGTTATAGCCATATTTGGATGGGTTCTCCAATGGTTTTACCCTTTCTGATACTCAACCACCCTCCTAAGTCGTGGTTCGTCCAGGGGCTGTGGATCTTGTTAAGTTATGGGATGCAAAGCTAGCTATTACTTTCAGGTTTGGCACTGACTTGTTAGACCAATGAGAGGGGAAAAAAGTGACTGTCTTTTTTCATCTGAATCCGAAGGGAAAGAAAAAAAATTGCTTTTGCTAGTGCAATCAAGTCCAAGATAAACTCACTAGGAATCGAGCTTATGACCGACCTGCCAGAAAATGGTGGATCACTTAAACCACCAGCACTTCCTGCAGTCGTGCCCGTTAACAAGCCATGGCGGTTTTGGGAAACGTCCGGGCCACTACAGGAGCGCCCAAATTCATCTGACTAGAAACTGCTCTACTCTATTTCTTTCCACGGCCGATAGCTGGGCCAAGTACTGGTGGTCTAACCAATAGATACAGTGAGGTGAGGTAAACGGGGGCCTGCACATGCAGTGGAGCATGTGGTTTAATTCGATACAACACGCAAGAAACCATACCAGCCCCTGACATATGAAAGAAACTCCTCGTAAATATCAGAAAGGAAGAAGTAAAGGCTCCCACGCGGCGGCACAACTTTGTTTTGGAAAATATGGTCTTAAACCACCAAAAAACCCCAGGGGGTCTTAGGCCCCCTCTGGGGAGGCTCTGATGCAAATGCACATGGATCCGCGCAGCGCACCGATTCAGCCACCACGTTAACGACCTAAAAACGCGGAGGTACTGGTGGTTTAAAAGTTGTGAAGCGCAGGATGCATATCATATCAAGGAAAATTGAAGTGGCACGTTGTGCCATCACCGGGAAATAGCCCTTGGACAGGATTTCAAATTTCAACTCCAACCCCAGCATTGATTTTCAATTTGTTTCCATTGATGACCCGGTGTGCCCAGGCAGGCTCAACTGATGTGTGCACATGAAGCTATACCATCTTCCACCGAACACAATGCACCCTCACTATGTCTCTAACGGACAGGAAACATAGCTTGTATACATTCATTATCAGGGGGTGCATTACGTTGGGGGGAAGACGACGGTACCTCACAGTGCTGGTGCAGACTTCAATCAGGCCCTGCAAGAGGTTCCACCCCCCCCACCCCCCCACCCCCCTGCTCATCTATGTGCTCGCCAATGCAATGAAATGAAATGCAACAAATTGAACTCCTCTTGACAATGTTATCTTGTTACAGAGTGGCAGTGCGGTGGCGATAACGACAAAGTCCTCAAAGGTGAAGATCTCCAAGGCGACGTTCGCGAACAGCGCTTCCGCAGTTCCCTTGGCTGGGCAGGTTGCGAGTGTGGACGAGGGAGTGCCTCCTGGGATGGCAGCAGAATATGTCCTCTGCAATGGTGAATGTACCTTCTGTCCTGACCTTCCTCCTACGGTTAGTACTCCTGTCTAAGCCATCCCTAGCGACTCTTCCTCTTCCTTTTTTCTTAAGTTAAGGGTATGTTAAATAAGACCATCCTTATTTCTTAGCCTGTGTCAAAGATATTATTATTACTACTATTATTAATTTATTACTAGTTTTCAACTTCTCATTATATTATTATTTTTATTATTCTAAGCTTCTTCTTCTTCTTCTTCTTCTTCTTCTTCTTCTTCTTCTTCTTCTTCTTCTTCTTCTTCTTCTTCTTCTTCTTCTTCTTCTTCTTCTTCTTCTTCTCATCCTTGGCACAGTTTGCCAAGGTGGTGGGTGGTTCCTGGAAATCTTCGATTTCCCAGGTCTACCCCTACCAAAGGGCCTATAGATAGGTGCCCGGTCTGATGGGTCTCAGTTAAAAGGGTCCTTTGTATACTATGGGTATGTGGAAGTGATGGGTTATCTGTATTTTTGGCCTACACATCAGCAGATGGCCATTTTTTATCTGCGGACGCCGGACTCGGAAAAAAGGTTTTTGAGAAAAAGAAAGTAGGTAGCGTTTTTTTGGGGCCCCGACAACGGGAGCTTGGGACTAGGATGGTGGGGAATGAAATTGCGGGAAAGTTGAAAGTAGAGATTAAGTAGGTATGTGGGAGGCTATCAGGTCCAGAATCAGAGTAGATAGTGCTCAACAGCTATTATCTGGTCAAGTACGACCCGGCTGACATGGGTTTGGTTTCTTTGGGCGCTCGCAATCAGATACCGGCTCTCGACTGTTTTTAGGCGCCTGAGGTCGGGACCAGGGAGCTCCCCTTTTTTTGGGCCCCGGTCGGAGGGAAACGGGAATAGCGCTGAGTACGGGGGTATATTACACCAGCGCACGACGACTTGATCAGTTGTACTCCTTCCAGTCAGGATGGATGTGCAAGGCGGGGGCAGGGTAGCGGGCAGGGAAATACTCGATCTTGCTGCCGAGGTTATGGACGAAGCCACGGATGGGGAGAGGGAGGTAAGAAGAACGTGGGGTAGAGGGAAGTAGCTAATATATCTATATAACCTCCTGAAGAGGCTTGGGTACGCACAAGCCGAAACGCGTCGAGGGTGGCGTACGGGTTTTAACGGTGTATGGTGGGGAAGACAAGCGATGTAATGGCATTCGTTTGAGTTTTCTTCGCTCTCCGTGTGACCGTGGTGTCTGTTCTTTGCCCTGAATTCTTCTTCTTCTTCTTCTTCTTCTTCTTCTTCTTCTTCTTCTTCTTCTTCTTCTTCTTCTTCTTCTTCTTCTTCTCCTCCTCCTCCTCCTCCTTTTCCTTCTCCATTTCCTCCTCCCTTTCTTCCTCCTCCTTTATCTCCTCCTTCTCAGGCTTCTCCCCCTGTCCTCCTCCTCCCCCTTCTGCTTTCCTCCTGCCCTCCTTGTTTCTTCTTCTTCTTCTTCTTCTTGGTCTTCATCTTCCTGTGCTGGTGCTGCTGAGGCTTCTGGGACCGCTGCTGCTGCTCAAGTATGAAGAAGGCAGGAGGGCAATCCATGAGAGAAAAAGAAGCAAGAAAGAAAACACTGACACAAAGGGCAAACAAGAAGGTAAAGCGAACTGGAGTACGTAAAAATTGCCGAGAAGACGACATGGGGAGAGAAAAGCGAAGTGTAGTGACAAAGAAAGGGGCAAAGAAAACGTCAAAGATTAGGGCGTGTCTGCAGGAGGGAAAAGCAAAAGCAAAGCAGAAAAGAGCGGATCGCGACTGAGCGAAGTGGAGCAAATCAATGCACAGCGAACCAAACCAAGAGGAGAATAGTTCAACTTTTTTTTTTTTTTTTAACCCCCTTTCAATGCTCCAATCTATTCGTGGGAAGCATGAGGAGAATAGATCAACTAAACTGGATCATCGACCCAATATTTTGGACACCTTCAACTGCTCAGACATCATCCGAACCAAGGACGCCCCTTGTACCTTTTCCTTCCACTCCAACACATCGCTACCGGTAGTGAAGATAAGATCCGGGCCGTTTTTTTCTCCATCTACTGAAAATCAAATCGGATCTTAATAGCTTGTCTGACGGAAAGCAAAAACTGAAACGGTTTTCACCTCTTAGCAGTAGCAGACGCAGATCCCAGGGTTCGATCCCTAGACCTTGCCCTACCTGTGTACAGTACCTGTGTAAGCCCCGAGAGTTGAACCTGCGACCTGTGTATTTGTAACAGTTTGTAGTCTGTCGTAGGGTCACATAGGAAGCAGGGATTCGATCTGTAGATCTATAGAGTAGGAGTCTTAGCGAGTTCCAGAAGTCTAGCTGTAGACCTTCTAGAAGGTCGGCTTCTAGAAGGTCGGCAAGTGGGCAAGTGGTCAAGTGGCGAGTCAAGTGGTGGACTAAACTGCAGTGCAATCGCAGTACGACTACGGTAGGTTGGCAGTGAGTCCACAGTCAGTCAGCGGTAAGGTCCAGTCAGTCCCAGTCCGGTCCAGCAAGTACCACGGGGGAC